AACATAACACTTCGTATTCAGGACATAAAGTTAATTTCTTTGCCACGTTTTTTGCAGTTTTACTTAAGTGCCTTATTGCAAACAGGATGCATGTTTTGGAATATTTTTTATTCTGTACAGGCTTCCTTCTTTTCACACTGTGATTTAGGTTAGTATTGTGGAGTAACAACAGTTGAAGTCGGAAGTTTACATACACCTTAGCCAAATACATCAGTTTTTCACAATTCCTGACATTTAATCCTAGTAAAAATTCCCTGTTTTAGGTCAGTTAGGATCACCACTTTATTTTAAGAATGTGAAATGTCAGAATAATAGCAGAGAGAATGATTTATTTCAGCTTTTATATCTTTCATCACATTCCCAGTGAATCAGAAGTTTACATACACTCAATTAGTATTTGGTAGCATTGCCTTTAAATTGTTTATCTTGGGTCAAACGTTTCAGGTAGCCTTCTACAAGCTTCCAACAATAAGTTGGGTGAATTCTGGCCCATTCCTCCAGACAGGGCTAGTGTAACTGAATCAGGTTTGTAGGCCTTCTTGCTCGCACATTTCTGCCTATACATTTTCTATAGGATTGAGGTCAGGGCTTTGTGATGGCCACTCCAAAACCTTGACTTTGTTGTCCTTAAGCCATTTTGCCACAACTTTGGAAGTATGTTTGGGGTCATTGTCCATTTGGAAGACACATTTGCGACCAAACTTTAACTTCCTGACTGATGTCTTGAGATGTTGCTTCAATATATCCACATAATTTTACTTCCTCATGATGCCATCTATTTTGTGAAGTGCACCGGTCCCTTCTTCAGCAAAGCACCCCCACAGCATGATGCTGCCACCCCCGTGCTTCACGGTTGGGATGGTGTTCCTCGGCTTGCAAGCAACACCCTTTTTCCTCCAAACATAATGATGGTCATTATGGCCAAACAGTTCTATTTTCGTTTCATCAGACCAGAGGACATTTCTCCAAAAAGTATGATCTTTGTCCCCATGTGCTGTTGCAAACCGTAGTCTGGCTTTTTTATGGCAGTTTTGAAGCAGTGGCTTCTTCCTTGCTGAGCAGCCTTTCAGGTTATGTCGATATAGGACTCGTTTTACTGTGGATATAGATACTTTTGTACCTGTTTCCTCCAGCATCTTCACAAGGTCCTTTGCTGTTGTTCTGGGATTGATTCGCACTTTTCGCACCAAAGTATGTTCATCTCTAGGAGACAGAACGCGTCTCCTTCCTGAGTGGTATGACGGCTGCGTGGTCCCATGGTGTTTATATTTGCGTACTATTGTTTGTACAGATGAACGTGGTACCTTCAGGCATTTGGAAATTGCTCCCAAGGTTGAACCAGACTTGTGGAGGTCTACAATTTCTTTTCTGAGGTCTTGGCTGATTTCTTTTGATTTTCCCATGATGTCAAGCAAAGAGGCACTGAGTTTGAAGGTAGGCCTTGAAATACATCCACAGGTACACCTCCAATTGACTCAAATGATGTCAATTAGCCTATCAGAAGTTTCTAAAGCCATGACATCATTTTCTGGAATTTTCCAAGCTGTTTATGTCACGCTCTGGCTCCGGGACTGTGTATTTTGAGCCAGGGTGTGTTCATTTGGTTGTGTTTGGTATTGGTTGTGTTGTATTTGGTTGTGTTTCCTTGTTTGGTCGTGTGACTCCCAATCAGTGGTAGCGAGTGTCAGCTGTCGGCTCGTTATCTCTGATTGGGAGCCATATTTAAACTGTCAGTGTTCACCTTAGTGTTGTGGGTTTTGTTCCGTATCAGTCATTGTAACTGAGGACTTCACGATTCGTCATTGTTTGTTGTTTTGTATTGAGTACTTTAAGTAAATAAAGTCATGTTCGTATCGCACGCTGCGCCTTGGTCCACTCACTTAGTAGACGTTCGTGACAGAAAAACCCACCGTACCAGGACCAAGCAGCGTGTCCAGGAGCCAAGGGTCTGGACATGGGAGGAGATTTTGGATGGTAAAGGGTCTTGGACTTGGGAGGAAATCCTGGATGGGATGGATCGCTGGCCATGGAGTAAGACAGTGGAGAGGCGACTGAGAGAGGAGCAACGGCGTCAGCAGGGCCATCGTCGGAAGGACGAGAGGCAACCCCAAAAAGTTTTTTTGGGGGGGGCACATGGCTTGGGCGGCTGGGCAGCAGGAGGCTGCCACAGGGAGACGTGGAGAGAAGGCTACCGGATTACGGGAGCCATTGGCGAGTAGAGGGAGGGAAGTAGTTGAGGCACGGCGTGAGAGACTGAGGTGTGTTACCAGTCCGGTCCGGCCCGTTCCTGATCCCCGGTTAAGGCCAGTGGTGTGTGTTCCCAGTACGGACCGGCCTGTTCCTACTCCACGCACCAAGCCCACGGTGTGCGTCGCCAGTCCAGCCCGGCCGGTTCCTGTTCCACGCACTAAGCCTGCGGTGTGCGTCGCCAGCCCTGCCCGGCCGGTTTCTGCTCCACGCACTAGGTTTACGGTGTGCGTCGCCAGCCCAGCCCGGCCTGTTCCTGCTCCACGCACAAAGCCTACGGTGTGCGTCGCCAGCCCAGCCCGGCCTGTCCCTGCTCCACGCACAAAGCCTACGGTGTGCGTCGCCAGCCCAGCCCGGCCTGTTCCTGCTCCACGCACAAAGCCTACGGTGTGCGTCGCCAGCCCAGCCCGTCCTGTTCCTGCTCCACGCACAAAGCCTACGGTGTGCGTCGCCAGCCCAGCCCGGCCTGTTCCTGCTCCACGCACAAAGCCTACGGTGTGCGTCGCCAGCCCAGCCCGGCCTGTCCCTGCTCCACGCACAAAGCCTACGGTGTGCGTCGCCAGCCCGACCCGGCCTGTTCCTGCTCCACGCACAAAGCCTAAGGTGTGCGTCGCCAGCCCAGCCCGGCCTGTCCCTGCTCTACGCACAAAGCCTACGGTGTGCGTCGTCGGCCTGGTCCAGCCCGTTCCTGCTACTCGCACCAAGCCAAGGGTGCGAGTCGTCGGCCTGGTCCAGCCCGTTCCTGCTACTCGCACCAAGCCAAAGGTGCGAGTCGTCAGCCTGGTTCAGCTCGTCCCTGCTACTCGCACCAAGCCAAGGGTGCGAGCCGTCAGCCTGATCCAGCCCATTCCTGCTACTCGCACCAAGCCAGGGATGCGAGTCGTCAGCCTGGTGAGGCCCGCTCCGGCTCCACGCATCAAGCCTAGGGTGCGTATCGTCAGCCTGGTCCAGCCCGTTCCTGCTACTCGCACCAAGCCAGGGGTACGAGTCGTCGGCCTGGTCCAGCCCGTTCCTGCTACTCGCACCAAGCCAAGGGTGCGAGTCGTCAGCCTGGTTCAGCTCGTCCCTGCTACTCGCACCAAGCCAAGGGTGCGAGCCGTCAGCCTGATCCAGCCCATTCCTGCTACTCGCACCAAGCCAGGGATGCGAGTCGTCAGCCTGGTGAGGCCCGTTCCGGCTCCACGCATCAAGCCTAGGGTGCGTATCGTCAGCCAGGTCCGGTCCGTTCCTGCCTCACGCGCCAAGCCAGGGGTGCGCGTCGTCAGTCCAGATCCTACCAGCTGGGTCAGATCGGACCGGGGGCGCTACGGGGGGATTGAAGAAGGGTGGTGGTCAAGCCCGGAGCCGGAGCCGCCTCCGAGGAGCAACACCCACCCAGCCCTCCCCTATTTGGGGTGTAGGCGCGGTCGGAGTCCGCGCCTTTAGGGGGGGGTACTGTCACGCTCTGGCTCCGGGACTGTGTATTTTGAGCCAGGGTGTGTTCATTTGGTTGTGTTTGGTATTGGTTGTGTTGTATTTGGTTGTGTTTCCTTGTTTGGTCGTGTGACTCCCAATCAGTGGTAGCGAGTGTCAGCTGTCGGCTCGTTATCTCTGATTGGGAGCCATATTTAAACTGTCAGTGTTCACCTTAGTGTTGTGGGTTTTTGTTCCGTATCAGTCATTGTAACTGAGGACTTCACGATTCGTCATTGTTTGTTGTTTTGTATTGAGTACTTTAAGTAAATAAAGTCATGTTCGTATCGCACGCTGCGCCTTGGTCCACTCACTTAGTAGACATTCGTGACAGTTTAAAGGCACAGTCAACTTAGTGTATGTAAACTTATGACCCACTGGAATTGTGATACAGGGAATTATAAGTGAAATAATCTGTCTGTAAACTATTGTTGGAAAAATGACTTGTGTCATGCACAAAGAAGATGTCCTAACCGACTTGCCAAAACGATAGTTTGTTAAAAATAAATTTGTGGAGTGGTTGAAAAACGAGTTTTAATGACTCCAACCTAAGTGTATGTAAACTTCCGACTTCAACTGTACAATGTTGTTGATCCAGCCTCAGTTTTCTCGTATCACAGCCGTTATACTCTGTAACTGTTTTAAATTCACCATTTGCGTCATGGTGAAATCCCTGAGCTGTTTCCTTCCTCTCTGGCAACTGAGTTAGGAAGGACCCCTGTGTCTTTGTAATGACTGGGTGTATTGATACACCATCTCAATTTAATCAATTTTAAATGAAGGCTGTAACACAACAAAATGTGTAACTGATAATAACTGATTTATTATAATATGATACTAACAGATTATAAACAGTTCATGGATACTGACAAGGTTTACAATGGATTATGAGCTCATCATAATGCATTATACCTGTACACCTTAAAGGGATAGTTCAGCCAAATTACAAAATTACACTTTGGTTTCCTTAACCTATTAGCAGTCTATGGACAAGGTAAGACAGCAATTCACACTTTGGTTTTGTATACCTGCCCACTATCTGCAATGCTAACATTATTTTATGTTTTTGGCATTTTTGTATGCTAGGCTAGATGGGCTGGAATCTACGAACAGGGACAGATTTGGGGCATGCCGACTTTAAAAACAAGTGTTTGGCACTGGTAAAACATGTACAGGTCCTGACTCAGATACACATGCTGTACATACCCTACTGTCTATCATCTCGGTCTAGGATGTTTTCGGTTAATCCTTTGCGCTAACACATCATTTCCTCACCCTCCTCAGCACTTTTACTGGACGTGATGACCGTCGCTGGTATGCAGAAACTCGTGAAGCGCAAAGGACCCTGGGAGATGACGCCTGGCCTGTTTGATTACATAGCGATGGATATTTACTCTTTCCCAGCAGCACATGCAAGCCGGGCTGCCATGGTATCCAAGTTCCTTTTGTCACACTTAGTGCTCGCTGTCCCTCTGCGCATTTTACTGGTGCTGTGGGCTTTCCTGGCCGGCATGTCCCGCATCGTTCTGGGCCGCCACCACCTGACAGATGTGGGATGTGGTTTTGCATTGGGCTATCTCCATTTCAATCTAGTTGAAATGGTGTGGCTGCCCTCCAACACTTGCCAGACTTTGATCTCCATCGGGACACTCAGTTGGATCCCCTTCTAATAACAATATCAGCATTTTAGGCAACCCACAAAAGCTTGACATCCTCTTATCCCTCAGTCCCTATTTTTGTTATGTTTTTCTGTCACAGCCACTCACTGGCCCTCATGTCATTTTAAATAGAAGTCTATGCAGACATAATGTTTGTTAATCACATTTACACCTAGATAATAAGGTTATTTTCAGCTTTGACTTGAATTTCTTTCTCCAGTGTAAGTGCAGCATGCAAGGAAATGAATGCATCCTTGTGAAACATTTCAGATGCCTTTCTGACTAGCGTTTATATATTACATTTTGATCTGCTATTTTTAGTTTTGTCAACATTTATGACAATTAATGTTTTACTATGAAAAACATTATGTTTTTAACACTCATTCTCTGGACCTGAAAGTGTATGTATTTATAAATTGCAAGTATAAGTAAAACAATCATAAACTATCTGGGATTTTGTGAAAGACACACTTTTACATGACTCACTGTCAAATATCAGATATTTTGTGTACAGTATGCACACGAAGATACAGGTAACTGCCAAAATAAACACTTGAGTAAATGAGGGATACAAAGTATATTGATAGCAGATGCTTCCACATAAGTGTGGTTCCTGAGTTAATTAAGCAATTAACATCCCATCACGCTTAGGGTCATGTATAAAATGCAAATTTTAAGGTGTTCTGGCTCGTGGTGGCCCAATGCCCTATTAAGACACTTTATGTTGGTGTTTCCTTTATTTTGGCTGATACCTCTAGGTATCCTTAGAAGCGGATCTTGTCTGGTTTATTGTATTGCTTCTCAATTGGCTGCATGAGTCCAACACTGTTCTAATTGCCTCAGATGCTATTTTTTACATGAATGGAAATACGTGTTTTACATTTTATTTACAATATTTCAGCAACACAATTTATATTGTGTTTAATTTGTGGGTTTTGCCTTAAATATTGTCCCTTTCAAATGTGTAAGCGATAGCTTCCTTATAAATTATATTCAGAACAAAATATTTCTATGCAGTAATTTTTTTTCATGCCACAACATATTGAAATTGCTTTCCTTTGTAAGACAGTCTGCAGTTACTGGTTAAAACAAAAGTTAAGATTGAAAATAGATTGTTCAATAGATCAATGTTTTGGATAAGTAAGGTGTGGTACAGGGTTGCATAATAATAAAGCATTCAGTAATCAAGCATTCACTGAACATATTGATTTGAATTCTGATGGATGAAATTCTACTGGGTTAGGGTTGGTTTAACTCTATTACAAAGTGGGTCATTTATCTTTGAACAATGAAATGTTACCACTAATCTTTTCATGTACTTTCTGATCTTGAATAGTGTATACATGCATGTGTATATGTATTGGCATATCCATTAAACATAAATTATATCCTCAATTGATTTGCTGAAATGTGTGACATTTTGTATGGATGAGAACATAAGGGATAGTGCTTCGAGATGCAGGTGCATTTTATGCAGGTGTGTTCTATTTTTACTGAGGTGTGCTCCATCTAGGACACTTTCAACAATACCCTCTGCACCATACAGTAGCTATACACTTTGTCTACATGGCAAATCATTGTTGTATGTGCCTGAACCAAACACAATTTAAATATGTCAATTAAACGATTTATTCAATGGTATTCATCAACATAGTGTGTTATTTATTTAATGAAATGCTAAATTATGGACCATTATCCTGTATATACACTACATGGACAAAAGCACTACATGCTCGTCGAACATCTCATTCCAAAATCATGGGCATTCATATGGAGCTGTTACCCCCTTTGCTGCTATAACAGACTCCACTCTTCTGGGAAAGCTTTCCATTCCAAATTGCTGTGGGGACTTGCTTCCATTCAGCCACAAGAGCATTAGTGAGGTCGGGCACTGATGTTGGGCGATTAGGCCTGGCTCAAAGTCGGTGTTCCAATTCATCCCAAAGGTATTCAATGGAGTTGAGATCAGGGCTCTGTGTAGGCCAGTCAAGTTCTTCCACAACAATCTCGACAAACCATTTCTGTGTGGACCTCGCTTTGTGCACGGGGCATTGTCATGCTAAAACAGGAAAGGGCCTTCCCCAAACTGTTGCCACAAAGTTGTAAGCACAGAATCGTTTAGAATGTAATTGTATGCGTTAGCGTTAATATTTCCCCTCACTGGAACTAAGGGGCCTAGCCCTAACCATGAAAAACTGCCCCAGACCATTATTCCTCCTCCACCAAACGTTACAGTTGGCTCTATGCATTGGGGCAGGAAGTGTTCTCCTGGTATCTGCCAAACCCAGATTAGTCCGTCGGACTGCCAGATGGTGAAGCGTGATTCATCACTCCAGAGAACGCGTTTCCACTAGTCCAGAGTCCAATGGCGGCAAGCTTTACACCACTCCAGCCGACGCTTAGCATTGCGCATGGTGATCTTAGGCTTGTGTGCGGCTGCTCGGCCATGGAAACCCATTTCATGAAGCTCCCGACCAACAGTTCTTGTGCTGACGTTGCTTCCGAGTTTGGAACTCGGTAGTTAGTGAGTGTTGCAACCAAGAACCGGTGATTTTTATGTGCTACGCGCTTCAGCACTCGGTGGTCCCATTCTGTGCGCTTGTGTGGCCTACCACTTCGCGGCTGAGCCATGGTTGCTCCTAGACGTTTCCACTTCCCAATAACAGCATTTACAGTACAGTTGACCGGGGCAGCTCTAGCAGGGCAGAAATTTGACAAACTGACTTCTGCCATGTTGAAAGTCACTGAGCTCTTCAGTACGGGCCATTCTACTGCCAATGTTTGTCTATGGAGATTGCATGGCTGTGTGCTCCTTTTATACACCTGTCAGCAACGGGTGTGGCTGAAATTGCAGAATCCACTACTTTGAAAGTGTGTCCACATACTTTTGGTCATGTAATGTATTTGTGTGTGTCAGTGAGAGAGAGAGAGAGATAGAGAACAGGAGCGAGAGACATCAGCGTATGTTTCTTATGCCTGTCATGTGATGTTAGTCTGACAGTTGCAATGGTAAGTATCTTGTTGGGCAATTAAAACGGCCGTCAAGGGAATGTTGTTGTAGCTGCAGCAGAGGCAGTCTGTGTTTCACAGAAGGCGTCACTAACACAACGTTGTTGTGCTGCCTCTCCTGCCTGGTCACATAGACTAAACGTAACATAGTAACTGAAAATCCAGGACACTCCAATTAGTATGATATGTTACATTTGGTCTGGTTATTTAAGGCTAATACGAAGGTAGGGTGGTTGATCAGGGGGGGTGGGTAGGTGTATAACGCCAACGTTTTGTAACCCAAAAGTTGCATGTTCAAATCTCATCACAAGCAACTTTGCAAGTACTTACTACTTTTTAGCTACGTTGCATCTACTTAGCATGTTAGCTAACCCTTCCCCTAACCCTTTAACCTAACTCCTAACCTTAACCCCTAGCCTAGCTAATGTTAGCCACCTAGGTGATGTTAGCGTTAGCTACCTAGCTAACGTTAGCCACAACAAATTGGAATTTGTAACATATCATACGTTTTGCAAATTCGTAACACATTGTAGAAATTGCAATTCTTAACATATTATACAAATTGTAACATATCATACGAAATGGAATTACATTTGAGTCATTTAGCAGACGCTCTTATCCAGAGCGACTTACTATTTAGTTTTTTTTTTCATACTGGCCCCCTGTGGGAATCGAACCCACAACCCTGGTGTTGCAAACGCCATGCTCTACCAACTGAGCTACACGGAGCCCACTGAGTCCAAGTTGCTCTTTACAGACTGAGGCACATAAAGCAGCTGCCTTTGTCAGTCCAACCACCACTCCTCCGCCTCCTCATGATGGTGATCCAGTAACTTTACTGGAGCTCAAGTCTGACTCAGCGCTCTATAAATATCTGCCTGGGCTCAGACCATCACATCTCTGGAGCTGCATGCCTCATCGTTGTAACATCAAACCTTTCCCTTACACCCCACCCTGGCAAATGCATTCGTCACATGGTCACTGTTGTGGCAGTACACTGTAAGACTTTTCTGTAATTTCAACAGCAAAACCCTGTAGAATGCACAGTAAACTGTAATTTCAATCGTAAAACACTGTAGAATGCACAGTAAAATACCGTAAATGTGTTTTACAGAATGAATTATGGTGCATAGTGGTAAAATGTTAGAAGAATCCCTGGCTCATTAACATATTTTAATGTTGTAATTGTAAGAGGCTATATTTATTGCACCCGTGAGTGAGAATGCTGCACACCACAGAATACAATAATATACTGTATTAGGAATTCTACAATCTTGTCCTGAAACTTTAGAATACAGTATCATACTGCATTTTTGGAGCGCCAAAAAAACGTTGGAACACTAGTGGGTGCATGGTATTGTTATTTCTGACTCATTAACATATTTTGAGGTGTGTCTTGTAAGAGGCTATATTTGCTGCACCCGTTAGTGAGAGTGCTGTACCAATTTAATTTATGACAATTTAATTTATGAAGGGGACAGATCAGAGTGGTAGCAAGTGTCAAACCTGTAATGATTGAGTGGCTAGCAATGTCCTTTTGATCTGTTTTGCCCTGTAGTCACTGTCAGTTTAGAAGCCTTTGTTAAGGCCTAAAGTGCAAGTATTAGTTGATATGCTGTAATATATCATTACATATTCACTATTAGCAGTTGCTGAATTGGTTTTTCAATACAATTCAACAATAAAGTACTGTATTGCTGTTTTGCTGTATATTTACTGTAGCATACTGTAAATTATGGTGTATTGTGGGAAAATATTGTGGGAGGGGAAATAATTGCTGGCTCATTTACATATTTTAAGGCATGCCTTGTAAGTAGCTATATTTGTTGCATCCGTTAGTGAGAGTCCTGTACCAATTGAAGTGATATGTGGTAGTAGTTCCCTAACAATTGAATGTATGTAGGGAAGAGAGCAGAGTGTCAGTAGGTCTTAATGGTTGAATATTTAACTGTGTCTGTTTGTTCTGTTTTGCCCTGTAATCACGGCCAGTTTAGAAGCCTTTG